TTGGAATCTCCATATTGATTTCCACAATGTTTGTACCAGTTTACACTCCTACCAACAATGAGAAAGAGTTCCTTTCCCCCCACAGCTTTGCCAGCATTCATTTATATTTGATTTCTTGAAGAGTGAGATGAAATCTCAGCATTGTTTTACTTTGCATTTCTCCAGTGGCCAGAGATGTTGAACAATTTTTTATGTGTTCATGGGCCATTTGTGCTTCTTCAATGTCTGTTCATTTCAGCTCTCCATTTTTTGATCGGGTGTTTAAATTTCGGGGAGGAAGTCAAATTTCTTTTGAGTGCTTATATATTCCAGATATTGGTTCCCATTGCTGTGCAAAAGCTTTGTAATTTTACATGATACCATTTGTTGGCTCAGTATTGCAGTGGTACCTTGAATGACAAACACTTCTGTTTGCAAACAGTTTGGTTCACAAGCAAAAGCGTTTGGCAAAATTTTGTTTTTGTTTGCAAACTCTGCATTGGGTGACAAACATGACCTCAGCGATCTTTGCCACACGAACACAAACATAGCCATCTTTTCAAAATTCTAGAACAAATTAACTTCGTGAATTGAGGTACCACTGCATTTCTTGTGCAGCTGGGGTTCCGTTCAGTCTTTGTGAACAACTATGTCTTCAAGAGTTTTACCACTTTTGTCTTTCAGCACATTACTTGTTTTAATAACTAGGTCTTTGAGCCGGGCTTGGTGGTACACACCTGTGATCCTGGCCGGAGACTGAGGGAGGAGGACTGCTGTGAGTTCAAGGCCAGCCTGGGCTACAAAGTGAGTTCAAGGCCAGCCTGAACTACATAGGGAGACCCTGTCTCCAAAAAAAAAAAAAAAAAAAAAAAATAGACCTTTGACCTATTTTGATTTTAGTTTCGTGCATGCTGAGAGATATGAGTCTAAATTCAATCTTAGGCATATGGATAGCCTGTTTTTCCAGCTCCATTTGTTAAAGAGGCTGTCTTTCCTCCAGCGAAAGTATTTGGCCACTTTGTCAAAGATAAGTTAGCTGAACGTGCCTGCAATTTTTTTCTACATCCTCTGCTGACGAGAATTGGTGTTGTGATCTCACTGGGAACCAACCAGACCTTTCTGCTGCAGTAGAGGACACAGGAGCAGGCCTCTTCCAAAGCCTGAGTATCCTCACTGCTGTGGCCACTGAGCAAGTAGTATTTAGGGTATGTGTAAAGAGCTCACACGGTGACCAAGGATTAAAAGATGTGGATTAAACTTGTAGAAAGCGATACTTACTCAGCGTATCTGCAGCTTTCATGTTGCTTCTGGCCTTTCTCTGGAGCTTTTCTCCTTTGCCTTCCTACTTTCTTAGTGCCTGTTTTACTCCTTTGCAAAACATCGTATCCTGTCATCTTTTGGCCAGTTGACTACACTCACACGTTTGCCTTGGGTGTCACCATTAGCCCTGGGTTTTTCTGTTCTGCCAGCGTTCCATTTTTTCTTATAATTTCTTGTTCCCTCTACACTCACAGCATTTCCCTTGTATCCTTATTTTTTTAATTCTTGCTCTGATCCCCTCTCCACCTGGCAATCAAAATTCAGGCTGGAAAACTGTATTATCCTAGTTACAGCAGCTGCAGAACCCCAGTCCTCTTGTCTGATCCCCATACCAAGGTAGTGAGATTTTGGTGATGTACGAAATTTTACTTTAACCAGAAGAGCTATTTTAATGAACTATCTATTTTGTTTTGTTTTGTTTTGTTGGTTTTGTTTTTTTGAGACAAGATCTCGCTATGTAGCCCAGGATGGCCCTGAACTTACAGGAATCCTCCTGCCTCAGCCTTCTGAGTTCTGGGACTATAGGCATGTGCCGTCACACCCAGAAGAGTCAGAAAATTCTTGCCAAGCCTTTATTTTAAATATTCTGTCTGGTGTTCTGGTATTCTGTGCTTTATAATTCAAATCCTGAGTGCCCAGGATGTAAATAGCACGAAACTCTAGGAGCTTTATAGCTAAAACTTGTCCTAAAAACAGTACAAAAGAATACAGAAGTATTCCAAAAGTAACTTGCCTTCCTGCATAATTATTAGGCACTACAGAAGTGACGTGATAAGGCTCCCTGAGTTCAGAAAAGAAAACCCTGAAAATTTTATTCTCAGTAAGGAGCATAAGAACCTTTCTTGGGTTCTCCCTAACTCGGTTCTCTATGACGCCAGCTGTTTCAGACTTCAGACAACCGGATATTTCAAAAGCACCCTATTTCCTAGAATAAAGCTCTTACAATGGGCACAAAAGAGACTGATTTGCCTTACCATACGAGTGGATTGCAACCACAAATCAAAAGCAGTTTCTCACAGATTTCATTCATAAAAATCACATAGGAATCACACACAAAGCTGAGAAATCAAGCCCCTATTCACAAGATACCATCCTTGGTATGTCTGTTGCACTTAGTCTAATGAATTTCAGAGCCTGAATCTCATTACTTCTGTGTCTTAATTTTGTATTGTGGTCTAGGTGGAGTTCTCTACAAAGTGACAACAGTGTAACCTGTGCCCTGAGCTCAGGGCGAGCCCTTCACTACCAGGCAGATCACTGCCAGGCACTCGCCATGGAGGAGAACCTAGGACAGGGTGACGGCTTTGTTTTCTGAAATATGGGTTCACATTCTGGCCCCGTTACTTTACAGTGTGACCGCAAGCAAGTTTGCCCTTTCTTTTTCACTTTTTTATTACAGGGAATTTCAAATGTGTACAAAATTTATAATACAATAGAAACAGGAAGCTGGGAATATAGCTCAGTGGCACAGTGCCTTCCTGGCAAGCGCAAGGTCCTGAGTTCGATTCCCAGTACCAAAAAAAAAAATTTAGAAACAGTGTTTGCCAGGACCTGGGGAGAGGGCATTAAGGTGTGACAGCTACTGGGATGCAGTTTCCTTTTGACACAACCAAAACATTCTGAAACCAGTCAGGAATAATGGCTCCACCACTCCGAATACACCAAACATCAGGGTGGGTTGTATGATACTTACATTATCCCTTAAAAAGCTTTTCTCATTCTTAAAAAGTGTCTGCAGCACAATGAATCCTAACGCATCCTTACCAATACAAAAGATGCAGAGTTAGATTCGAAGGAAGCAGGTGCGAAGGAGCTCACATAAGGAAACTGTCCAGGCTCAGCCTGGGCAGCACAGAAGCCATCCGATGATTTCCACTACAGCTGCCTTGCAACTATCACCAGCTATGCACATTGCAGGAGTGCCATTCGAATGGATCCAATCTGTGGCCTACGTTACAGTAAAACACACTGAAAAATAAAAATGTCAATTATTTATCTTTGTTTTTCTTCCGGTACCAGGAATCGAACTCATGACCTTGCGCTTGCCAGACAGGCACTTTGCCACTGAGCTAAATCCCCAGCCCCGTCAATTACTTATCTACATTACCGGTATTCTATATTTTACATTTGGCCCAGGATCATTTCTCTGCTCTCAATGCACCCCAGGCAAGCCAGGCAGGTCCAGCCCGTGGGCGGAGGGTTGAACGCACCTGGTGCTGGGCTATCCTTCATCGCCCCGGGCTTTCGGACTCAGCTCTTCCTGTGAATCTCCTTGTTCTCCTTCAGTAGAACACGTAACTTCTCAACCTCTCATGCCCCCATTTTTCCTGCCATGCGTGCTCATAAGCACAGCGCACACAGCAAGCTCTGCCTTTATACTGATTCACGCTTGCCTCTTTCGTACGCCTGCGTGAGGCCTGCCCTAAATAACTCTTTGCTCTTCTCCCATCTCTCTCCTCCTCTCTGTGGATCTCTACTTTGAACTGGTTGCCAAGTGTGTTTGCAAGTGAGCTTATTTGTCCGCTCTGCAGGGTCACCGTCCCCTCCCTGTTATCTGCTACTGTCTGCAGCACAACGGTCACTGATTTCAAGGGATGAGACCCTAGAGGAATCCTTGAAGTTGATTTCAAACCAGGATAACCTTTGAAAACCTATATTGTCTTGGTCAGAAGCCAGCCAGCTATTTGAATTAGTAAAGTATATCCCAGTGCTCCAACGTGGGGACTAAAACACATGCGACACCAGAGGACAAGACAACGGGGTCAGTGGCAGCAGGAAGGGAGCCTGGAGAGGGGGCCAAACCGGAGCCAGGCTTGGAAGAATGGCTGCCATTTTGTTAAAGAGGAATGGAAGTGCGGTCGGGTTTTCACACAGCGCCTGCTGCAGGGTAGATCTCCTCCAGATGGTGGGTCTGGATTTGGAGACAGTAAAAAGACCCAGCAAGCTCAGGAGGAACTGCACGCACTAGCATGGTGGTTTCCAGGGCAGGAGATGGCTTGTGAGATTTCAGAAGTGACACAAGTGCCGTGCTTAGCATGGTGTCTGCTGCCGATCAGAAAACGTTCTTCACTGAGTATCATGAGCTAGGACCAGGGGTGAGTACGAGGCTCAGAGTAGCGGGGAGCCCCTATGCTGGGCGCTGTCCTGTGAGGCACCTCACTTGACTCGTTTTACCCTGGCTGTCAGCAGGCCGGGGCTAGGGAGCAAAAAGGAAGAAACGCTGACCAGCATCAGAAATTCGGCCAAGTAGCCTCTCATCAGGAAGATGAGGCGGGTCTGTTGTGTGGAAGTTGTCCCACAATATTCAAAGGCAAGAATGCTGTCTGCTCCTACCCTAGGTCTTTCAAAGAAGGAACTTCACCACATAAAGCAGAAGTTTTTTTTTTTTTTCCTTCTTCTTTTGTGGTTTCACACAGCGAATGAGTGACAATCTCTTCTTGTAGACAAAGGGAGACGTCAGGCAGGGAGGCGTGAGCGTGGCCTGCATTTCTGGTTCCCCCCGCCCTCACCCCTCTCATTTTACTCTTATCATGCTTCCCAGAAAGTCTGCCTGCTGGAAGAATCTTCTTGACAGTTTCCCATGTGTTGTCTGATAACTCCATAGGATTCGGCTTCTGAGAACCAGTCGGAAGCAGGCGGTGACACTGCGTAATCTGCCTGTGAAGCCGCGGATACTGGCTGTGGCACTCTGGGGAGCTTTTGCACGCTGCAGGCATGAGGGGAACCAGCATCAGGGACGGTGTGCCCAAGGTGAGTGACCGGGCCGTGCGCCTGGGCTGGTGCGTGGGGAGGAGGCTCCGACCAGTTTTGGTGCTATGCTTCTAATGAAGGCAAAGGATGAATGCTAACAACATATGGCTTTGACATGGGAACACTGAGCGTGTGTTTAAGGGTGGGAAATCCGTGGTCTGTAGAGCTCTTTACCAGCCGGCTTCCGAGATGGCTATAAATGATTGCTCAGTAGATAGCGGCGAATGTGGTGGGTACCAGAGCCCGTCCCTTTATGTCTGTCCAGCAAATGTGGGGCTCTGCCCAGCCCAGTCTCTCCTTCCTCTGCACTTTGAAAACACCCAGTGTAGTTCTCAAGGTCCTGCGCTCGCTTCTCCAGAGCAGAACCCAGACCTCAGTTTCTGTCTCCCACCTGAATCCACAGCGGTCCCCCGAGGCACTGTCCTCCTGTAACTTGCGCACCGCAGGACCCAGCTGGAATTTGCATGTTAACTGCAAGTCGGTGTCTTGAATCAAAAGACAGCCCCTATTTAGAAGCTCAAACGGCTCCCAAAAGCATTTACTCAGACTCCAGGAACGTGAAGCTCAGCGTTGATGTTTTTTTTTTTAATTTCTCTTACATTCTTTTAAATTTTTAAGTAGAACAGGGAAAAAAACAAGAAATGAGACAATTGCTAAGTGAGGAGCCTGTTTACAGGGCTAATAAAATATTTATTGCAATAATAATGGATTCCAGTAGTGGACTGTATGGCGGAGTGGTCTGTGATATTTTTTTATGTAGACTATGTGTAAATACTTAGCTAGCTTAGAACTGTGTCCTCAACTGCGTACTGCAACATTTTTCAAAGCACTGGAATAGATGGAGGTGGGTTAAGTAATTCAGCAAACTCCTGACTTAAGCCGCCTGGACCCATCAGCTCCTGGCGCTTTGTCGCACTCATGCGCACCTATTTGTATATACTTAGACATGAGCGCTGACTATGTTGTCACCGTGGTTAAACCACTGGAAAGCAAATGACAGAAATAACGCTGCTTTACCCCCCAACACTTGATCATGGGTCTCCTCAGGCATCTACCTCCAGCACCACACACCTACATCGCACCCACCATTATTTCACCTTGATTTCACAATGCCACCCTAATATTCAGTCCGCATTCAGATTTTCCAAAAATACCCTTTTTCTCTTTTTGCCTGTTGTCTGCTTTTCCAATGGAGGATTCCTCGTGGGCTCACACACGGTGTCGTTTACCAGGTCTCAGTGATCCTTACTCTAGGTTATGAACCCACTCCTTTTTTCTTTCATAACATTGACTTTTTTTTCAAATAGCCTGGAGTTTTTTATGATTTAGAGTCCTTTTTCTTTTTGAGCCCCTTATTCTGCCTGGATTATTTGTATGGCCCTTGACAGTGTGTCCATAGCCTGGCTGTGTGCATAGACACGACTGACAGGCTCAGACTCTCTGTGCGGTCTTGCTCTCCCAGTGAGGCGATGATAGCAATGACTGTCGCTGATCACTGACACCCGGGCTGTGTGCAGTGTCCCCTCACAGTCCCCTCTCCTCACGGCCTCTCCGTGAAGCAGAGCGTTGCTCTTCTCCCGTGTTACCAACGAGGAAACAGCTGGGATCGCAAGCGGGCACCGCCCCACCCGCCCTGTAAAACAGCCATTCTGAACTCCCAGATCACTTGTCGGGATTTGGTGCTCGGGCCCCAGTGCGCCAGGCCATGTCATCTCACTGCACACAAGCGCCCCCTTCCTGGTAGCCCTGCACCAGAAAGAGGACCCAGCCTTCGCCTCCTAGTCCAGGGGCAGCCTCAGCTACTGTTTCCTCGGTTCCTGCGTGTCCCTGTCAAAGCACATACAAGATAATATACTCTTTTTCCACTGTTTAAAAACACATCTAGCAGAGTTCAGATTCTACAAGCACAACTGGCCGCTAATTTGAATGCCTACCACGTCATTTACTTGCTTTTCAAATGCTAGCGCAGTGCTTCTGCTGTGTGGGTCCTCAGCCTTGGTGTGTCTGATTTCAGAGCCCTCGCTTGCATTCTGAGCCACCCTTCAGACTGCGAGTCTGTGTTGGCCCATGGAGGTAAACAGCAGCTGCTCCCGGAGCTGTTTGCCAATGCTGCCTGCTAACCAACGGTTCCGTCAGTAGAGCTTTCCCCTTAACACGCAGCAGATTTTGCATGTTTACCAGACTGTTTAATTATGCTTTGTCCTGGTTGTTTTACGAGAACACCTAAAAATACACACCACGCTACTAGCAACGGGAACCTCCAGTACTACAGTTGCAACAAAAGCAGGAATCCTTATGCCCGGCAGAGTGGTGAATCCGATGTCTCCTTCACTCTAGCCAGCTGGCTCCTCCTACACCTCTGCTCAAAACATGCTAGGAAATTAGTTCAAAAAGACCAGGTAAATGAGTTATTTTTATCATTTAGGAATCCTTGCTTTGAATTTAGAAATGCTTATTCCTAAAAATACAGTCTGCATGTACCTTCGTGATTCAGTCCCAGTGGTTGCAAGTTGTGTCAGTCGGTGCTTGGGCATGAGTATGTGTGCACACAGCCATGTGTGCAAGTGCTTAGCAGTGATTTGAAGTTAGCAGCTTTGTACACGGCACCCCCACTACACCATCACATTTTTTCTCTGCCATGTCCAGGACTGGAAGTAAGATTAGTGAGTCAAATAAACATTAGGGCTGCTTTCTGTCATTTTCTGAGAATTTCCAAAAGTTGATTCTACTTTAAACCTGGTTTCCACAGTATCTTCTGTCTAAGGCATACTTTATCTCTTTTATAAAGACAGCTGGTGAGGAATCATGGAGCACACCTGCATTTTCAGCATTCTAGGAGGCTGAGGCAGGAGGATCACAAGTTTAAGCCCAGCCTGGGCAACTAGGCAACTTTGTGAGACCCTGTGTCAAAATGAAGAAGGAG